TCTGCTCAGCAAATTTAGAGGCAATGTTTAGCAGAAAAAGGACTAATCAATGACCAGCGAATGCACTGCAGCTCAGTAGGTGGCGCTATTTGCCCTGGATTGGGAGGGATTTTTTTTTTTTTACCCCAAATTTTGGGTAACTGTATGTTTGAGGTTTAGTGGTGGAGATAGAGGTAGAGACAGAGAGCTCTCTACTAACATGGATGAAAATCCTCAACTAACTTTTCAACATACATGCTGCAAAGTCTTGATTGTAACGAGTCCTACCTGAAAAACACTGCTTAACCTATACCTTTGCTTTTGCTGCTCCTTTTTTCAAAATCTTTCTTTGTTCGCATCATTAGAAAACCCTACAGAGGAAGGTAGAGAGGGGGGGTGATCCTGCCCCATCACAGCAAAAAACATTAACAGGTAACCAGATGGTATCATGGTTTGAACCTCCCCCTTCCTCATCCTCCTTAACAGCAGATTCTTTCTTTTTTCAAATAAAACTGTGCTTTTATGGTTACCCTCCATATGAACTGTCTAAAAGTAAAAAATGAAAAACAAATAAAAAAAAAAAAACCTCCAGCAGCACAGCATCCGAACCCTGAAGGGAATAATAATCCAAACAGAAAAGCTTCATTCAGAGAGAACGAAACATGTTTTTTTTTCTGCATGCTGCCACCCTCACTGGAAAAAAATCTAAATAAGTAATTTTTTCTTAAAATAAGTGCATTTGTTTTTGAATTGAGGAGATAAAAGCGACATTTTGCCAACGGAACAAGACAATTTAGATTTAAAATAAGAAAACACAATTGCATTGTCTTATTTCAAGTGTATATTATCTAATTATTTTATTTTAAGAGTAAAAATACTCATTCGATTGGCAAATTATCTCATTTGTCTATACAAATCAAGGGTAAATACACTTAATTTAAGAATTTTTTACTTATTTTTAGATAGTTTTTCCAGTGCTGAGCGGCACAGCTCCACAAGCTTCTACACTGGGAAAAACTCGGAATCTAGATAATTCATTTTTTCTTAAAATCAGTGCATTTATTCTTGTTTTTGGTAGGTAAAAGAGACATTTTGCCAATGGAACAACACAATTTACACTTGAAATAAAAAATCACAATTGCATTGTCTTATTTCAAATGCATATTATCTAATTATCTTATTTCAAGAGTAAAAATTCTCATTCCACTGGCAAACTATCTAATTGACCTACTTAAATTAAGGGTAAATAAACCTAATTTAGGAAATTTCAACTCATTTCTAGATCGTTTTTCCAGTGTAATCACAGGAAAATGGGAAAAAAGGTTGGCATTCAACTACAACACTAAAAAAACGATCTAAAAATACGTAAAAATATCTTAAATTAAGTGTATTTACCTGTAATTTGAGTAGGTAAATGAGATAGTTTGCCAATGGAATGAGCATTTTTACTCTTAAAACAGTGTTTTAAAACAGTGTAAAAAAAAACAAACAGATTTGTGTTAATTATACACTGAAAAAACGATCTAAAAATACGTAAAAATATCTTAA